AGGTGCACCTTAGTCTCTAGACTGACATCATTGTTCTTCAGTACTCTGGAGAGGTCCTTAATAGCAGACTTGCCCAATGAAATTCATCTGGTGATTCCTGAGACACTACTTTTTGTTCTTAGGGTTCTTTCAAGTGTGGTCCTTGCCGCCAAGGTTTCCTGGGCAACCAGAGCCAGGGCTGCTTCCCAGCCCGGACCTGCCATAGCCCAGCCCACAGTCCCTGCCACGTCCATGCTCACTGTCTCTTTGAACGCAATGGTGCTGTATCCTGCTCGGTGAGCTAGGTTTGGAGCTTGGAAGGGAAAGGGAAACTCTGGGGGAAAGGGTAGAGCTAAAGGACATGTGTACAGGTCTTGCTGGAAAAGGGAGGTGGACCTGAGCCTAGAAACTGGTGAGGAAGGTGGGGAAACAGTTGGGTCTGTAGGGCAGCCAAGATTGCTAATGTCCACTTTATGTTTCCCAGTGCAATGTAGGCTGGGCAGGGAATGGGAACGTGTGTGGGCCTGACACAGACATTGATGGCTACCCAGACCAGGCATTGCCCTGCATGGACAACAACAAACACTGCAAGCAGGTGAAGGGGTGGGCAGGTGGGAAGAGGAGGGAGCCCCTGGCTTTGTAAGGTCAGAACTCATGCATCTTCTTCAAATCCTTCAGGACAACTGCCTTTTAACACCTAACTCTGGACAGGAAGATGCTGATAACGACGGTGTGGGGGACCAGTGTGATGATGATGCTGACGGGGATGGGATCAAGAATGTGGAGGTGCCTCTTCAACCATCGTGCTCCTTTTAGCTTCTGGTTCCCTTTGCTCTCCATCTCTCCTCTCCACCTGTCCTACTGCCCTCTCCTGGGCTCCGGGCAGCAATTAAAAAAGGGGCCCACTTCTCTAAATTAGAGACACAATTCCAGTGCTGTGGACAAGGTGGACTACATGGAAGCTGGGTGGGTGGCATCTTGCCAAGCAACCTGGTAGAGAAGTGATGATCTTATACAAACACTAGGTGGGTGCCAAATGGCTAGTGGTTTGGGGGTTGACCTTTCCCTTCCATTGTCTTACCCAGGACAACTGCCGGCTGTTCCCCAACAAAGACCAGCAGAATTCAGATACAGATTCATTTGGTGATGCCTGTGACAACTGCCCCAATGTTCCCAATAATGACCAGAAGGACACAGACGGCAACGGGGAAGGAGATGCCTGTGACAATGACGTGGATGGGGATGGTGGGTGATTAAGGGGGTAGTTAGAAGATCTGTGAGAATTTAGGCGCAATGGGCACCAGTGGGAACAGGAATTCTAAGGATAGTCAGGGCATGAATAAGAGGGCGAGACAAAGCTTAGGGCTTTTGCCAACCTAGAAGAGAATGTGATGTGTTAGTGCTATCTCTGTGCTATCTTCCATGTTTTCTAGGCATCCCAAATGGATTGGATAATTGCCCTAAAGTTCCTAACCCACTACAGACAGACAGAGATGAGGATGGAGTGGGAGATGCTTGTGACAGCTGTCCTGAAATAAGCAATCCCACCCAGGTACAGGGGAATGGAAAGGGCAGAAGGGTGGAAAGACACCCCAGCCCTTTGGATTGGAGGTAGTCAGGTCATCCTCTTGAGATGGTGAGAACAGGCCCCTCTCTCTCAGACAGATGCAGACAGTGACCTGGTGGGAGATGTCTGTGACACCAATGAAGACAGGTAGAGTCTTGGCTAAGGGATGGAAGGTCTCATAGGATTTATTTTTCTTCCATACATTCTCAACTCCTGTGGTTTAGCTTTAACAATGCACTACTCTTGAGCAAGGAATCATTCCTATAGTCTCCTCTCCATTCCTCCTGCTGGACATTTTCCCATCTGGCTGGCTAAAGGGATGGAGGGCAGATCCTAGGGAGAGACTTAAGCAGGAGAGGGGAGAACAAGGTACCTTTAGAACCTTTTAATTTGGCTCCTTTTCTTCTGGGTAGTGATGGAGATGGACATCAAGACACCAAGGACAACTGTCCACAGCTGCCCAACAGCTCCCAGTTGGACTCAGACAATGATGGACTGGGAGATGAGTGTGATGGGGATGATGACAATGATGGCATCCCTGATTATGTGCCTCCTGGTCCTGATAACTGTCGCCTTGTGCCCAATCCTAATCAGAAAGACTCAGATGGTAAGGCTGGACTTGTATGGGTTTTACCTAGAAGAGGTGGCAGAGCCTGTCAGGAATAAGCGAAAGGCTAATTAGGGAGGAGGTCAGGCATATAAGGCCCCAGAAATGTTGGTCTTGGCGAATGGCAGGTAGCCAGAGCCTTCCTGATCCCCTCACCTCTGCCTAGGCAACGGAGTGGGTGATGTGTGTGAGGATGACTTTGACAATGATGCTGTAGACGACCCCTGGGATGTTTGTCCGGAAAGTGCAGAAGTGACCCTTACAGACTTTCGGGCCTATCAGACCGTTGTTCTGGATCCTGAGGGTGATGCTCAGATTGACCCAAATTGGGTTGTACTCAACCAGGTACTCAGGGAAGTGGGTTGGGTCTTACCCAGGGGAGACCTGGGTAAGACAGTACACTTGGATCAGGCGTTTTTTTCTTTACTGTATATCAGGGCATGGAAATCGTTCAGACCATGAACAGTGACCCTGGCCTGGCAGTTGGTATGTAAAGAATACTCTGTTAAATAATTTCAAGGGCAAAGAGTAGACAGGGGAGAGAGGTTGTGAGGCAAGTTGGCCACACAGAGCAGGTATCCTTTCCCATCCTACCCCACAAGAGGCTTTGTTCTCTCTTTGCCACCAGCAGCTCTGCTGCTCCTGACATAATTCTCCTACCCCCAGGATACACAGCTTTCAACGGTGTGGACTTTGAGGGCACGTTCCACGTGAACACAGTGACTGATGACGACTATGCAGGCTTTCTCTTCAGTTACCAGGATAGTGGCCGCTTCTATGTGGTCATGTGGAAGCAGACGGAACAGACCTACTGGCAGGCCACACCTTTCCGGGCTGTTGCCCAGCCTGGACTACAGCTCAAGGTCCCCAGTTGTCCAGACTCTCCACTTTCCCAAGTTTCCCCCTAACTCTAGGACTTCCCCCACTGCCTGATTGGGAAATATCTTACCCAACCACCTATCCTGGAGGTCTGCTTCCAAAGGAATTAGCGCTTTCTCCTGATCATCCTGACTTCCTCCCCACCTGCACTTTGCACCTGCTTCTCCTCTTACTCTCATCCCAGTAGTTGACACACCTTGTCATTGCCCTTTAGGCAGTGACATCGGTGTCTGGGCCTGGTGAACACCTCAGGAATGCCCTGTGGCATACTGGCCACACGCCTGATCAGGTACGACTGCTATGGACTGACCCGCGAAATGTAGGCTGGCGTGACAAGACCTCCTACCGCTGGCAGCTTCTGCACCGGCCTCAAGTTGGCTACATTCGGTAAGAGGCTGGGGGAGTTCAGGCCTGGCCTTTCCTTCCTTTTAGCTGAGACCCATTAGTGACCTTACCGCTTCTCAATTGCTTGGTGCAGTGTGCCAAAACTGTGACTACTTCTATCACCCACCTCACTGCAGACATGCTGCCTTAGTTTTGCTTCCCTGACATCAGGTTGCCTGTGCTCTGGCTGGTGCTGCCAAGGGCCTATATGCAAAGTTGGACAAGTCCTTCCTCCTCTGTGACCTGTTTACCTTCGGTAAAATGAAGGTGTTGGGTTAAATGCCTTGCATGGTTCTCTAGGACTCTCCAAACCCCAGGCCAGTCATCCAGCCCTTCACTGCTGTAGGCATGCCTCATTAAGTGTGACCCGAACAACTCCTCATTTATAGAACAAACCCAGGCTCAGACTTCATAGCTCTGAAGCCTCCCAGTTCAGCACTTTTGCCCACAACTTTGCATTTCCTTCAGACAAGTGCCCTAAGTTGGTGGGGTGCTGGGGCTGCTGACTGCACAAAACTGGTGACAGGGAAGAGAGGAGAAATGTGTCTCCCAGGAACCTAGAGTCCAGGAATCTGGGTTGGTTCCCCTTTAAGGTGTCTGAGGCTGTGGGGGGCCAGGGCAGAGGATAAGGGAGGGGTGGACTAGAGCCTGGGAAGCGGGTGACTTCAACCCCCAGTCCATTGTGCTTATCGTCATGGCAACCCAATCCTGGCTTGAAATGCGGCTTGTGCTTTGAGATGCAAAGGGGGCTGGACAAAGAGCCAGAGGGGCCCCAGGCTGAGAATAGCACCCCCTTCCTTCCCCCTCTTCTCTCTGCCCTTCCCTCTCTAGCTTGGTGAACTCAAGGGGGGATGGGGGATGAACTGGACCAAGGCGTAGTGACCGGTCCCCCCTGGCACTCAGACATCATCAATGAACACCACTTTCCTGGACAGGGTGAAGCTCTATGAGGGTCCTCAGCTAGTAGCAGATTCTGGGGTGATCATTGACACATCTATGCGAGGAGGGCGTCTTGGTGTATTCTGCTTCTCCCAAGAAAACATCATTTGGTCTAATCTCCAGTATCGTTGCAATGGTGAGGCCCTAAACCCAGATCAGGATGACCCCTCATGCCTTGGTGGCAGTCCAGTTCTTTGACCCCTTTCCTTATTTCCCTTTCCGCAGACACAGTGCCCGAGGACTTTGAGCCACTCCGGAGGCAGCTGCTCCAGGGAAGGGTGTGAGGAGGTGGTCACCTGATTCAGAATCCTGCTTTTAACCCTCTGGCCTTGGGGTCCATCCTGGAGACCTGAGGTCTAATCTACAGCTTCTCAGCCAAACAGACACCTTCTTTTGGCACCCACCAGAGGGGATGGGAATAAGAAGTTTTCATGGGGTATTTCTCAGGCACTCACCCCAGGAAACATACCAGCACACAGCCATAAAGTTCCAGTTGTTTTCTAACCTAGTGCAATTGCTTATTTTAGGGATGTTCTGGAATAGATAGTACGGGGAACAGGAAGGAACCCTGGTAGGGTAACAGTTAAGAGATCTAGGGAAAGTTTGACGGGAACGCGGGAAGACTGGGTGGTGAGGAAAGCGCCGGTGGGGTTAGGTGAAGGAGATGCTGTTCGGAGGATGGCTAAAGCCCTCCTAGTCCTACTTACGGTGGCAGCGGCAACACTCCAGTCTGTGTTAGATTAGCCGGGGTCGAAAGCCAGGAGGGTGTTGTTCTGCCCCACTCGGGGTGAGGGGGAGGCCGGGGGGCCGGGGGGGCCGGAGGCCGGGACGAGTGCAATATTGGCGGGGGAAAGAACAACACTGCACCACATCCCGTCCCTCCCGCCCGCCCGGGGCCCGGGATCCCGCTCCCCACCATCTGAAGCCGGACCAGCCTGAGAAACTGGGTGAGCTGGGAGGTGGGTCTCCCTTGAAAGCCAGAGAGTTTGACGCCTGGAGTGGAATGAAGGATGTGAAAGGAGACGAGAAGACAAGACGGAAATATTTCAGAAGGCCGCTTCAGACGCCTAGGCGTTGCGCGCGCTTGCTCTTTAAATACTCAGACTGCAAGGCGCGGGGCTGTCGCCATAGTAACACGTGTCCCAGCAACAACTGAATGGCTGTTGCCCAGCAGCGCTGGGGTTTGGGCTTGGGGCCGCCCACCTAGATCCTCGTGCTTTTTCTCTAGTCCGCGGGGGAGGGAGAGGCGTCCCCACCTCGGCCCCGGCGCGCTGACGTCAGCTCCACCCCCAGCCCTGCTCTTGCACAAAGCTGCGCGGACTCGTCCTGGTTCCGCGCTCTCTGGAGTGTTGGCTGTTTTCTTCCTAAACGGGTTTTCTTTCAATCCTGCATTGTGTTGAAGTTTATTTGAAGTGTTATTTTTCAAACCGTACTCGTTGAGGATAACAATTATTTTCCTTACACATCCATAACTACTTCCGTCAGCCTAGACTGCAATTTGGGACTAACGGACAACGGACGGACGGGGCTTCTGATCCTTTAAGCACCTGCCATTGTAGCTCTCCTTCCCCTCTTCACCCCCTCTCCACCTTGTTTCTACCTCTCCACCTTCACAAATTCTGGAGAGAGGATGAAAGACACACAAGCGTTGAGGACTCTCCTTCATAAGGTCGCTATGGGTCGCCTGCGACTCGACGACACTTAATAACAACAACATACAGCTTTGCCCTCAGATGCCTTCTTGTTGTGTACCCTGGAGTCGGAACCCACCCATCGCTGACCCAGTTTTCTCTAGAGGCAGTAAAGTGCATGGGAGGAAATTGTAGCTAATGGTTTCGAACTGTGTACTTTTGCATTGGCAACATAATTCCTTACCATTAAGTAATCTATTTTTTCCTCAAGCACGGATGTATTCCCCAGATGTAACTCCTTTTTCCTTAGATGCCCTCAGATAACACTCCATCTCCTCACAATCTGCCTCGTAAATATGTACCAAACCCCCCCCCCCCCAAAAAAAAAAAAAAAAAAAAAAAAAAGCCCTAGTCCCATTTCCTCTCTCACATTCCAGGATCCTGGACCTTCAGGTCTTCTTGCCCAAACCTTCAGACCCCACCCATTTACCCTCGTTCTCCAGAAGTTCCCAGACCCTCCATTGTATAATACTGCTTTTCTGGCCAAGGCTTGACTCTTCCTACGTGTTGGGGCCCTGCCTTCCCTAGTTCTTTCTGGCCCTCTCTTGGCAGCGCCCAACTTCTTCCCGCCAGCCCAGGACCCCTGGGAAGCTGCGGGACCACTAGGGGGCAGGAGAGTCAGGCCAGCTATGCCGGCCATCTGTGCCAGAGGTGGAAATCTGGGAAGGAAAAACCACAGGCTTCATTCAGTAGAGCCCCGGTTTCCCTTTCTTTAAGTGGAAAATTCCCCCCTGCTTCCCTCCACCCATGGAGAGAAAGTCAAGGAGGGACCCAGTCTTTTGGAAAGTCCGGCCGGGGCCGGTACTGTAAGTTTCAGGGTAAAACCACATGTGGAACAGGACTGGACAAGGATCTGTTAGAAGGGTGGGGCTATTCCGGGAAGTTGGCGGGGAGGGAAGTCCACAACTAGCACTTACTCCACTAATTATTAAACCCTTTTTTTTCCCCTTCCCCCTCTCTCCCCCCTCAGCTCTCAGAGTAGGGCTTAGACTCAGCCAAAGTGGGGAAGTGGAATTGCTTAGGTCTTTAAGCTTTGCTGTCGGGCACGTTGACCTTAGGTCACTTTCTCCATTCCATACTCTCACCCTAGCTGTTGCCCTAGGGCTGAAACTAGAACCATGGAGACCCAGTCTCTAACCACCCCCTTCCACAACCTTCCAGAGCTAGGGTGTGGTTTGTCCAGAGAGGGTGGCCAGTTAGAGAACAAACAGGTTGTTGGAGGGTTGAGTGATTGGAGCCCATGTACCGGAGGGGTCAGGAATAGTTGGGGAGGAGGAGGAAGAAGTAAGGTAGGGAAAAGGGGAGGAGGCAGTGGTTTGTCACCTGTCACCTGCTCTGGCTAGGTCTAGGGCGGGGGACTGGTATAAAGCAGCAGGCGCCTGTGCCCGCTCCACTTCACCTCATACACAGCGCAGTGTCTGCCAGTGCCAGTTCTGCCCCCTCCCCACCCAGTTCATCACCACCATGACGCCGGGTATCCAGTCTCCCTTCATCTTGCTGTTACTGTCGCTGCTCACAGGTGAGTGGTACCTGCCTGGGAGGGTGGCAGCTTTTCTCATTGCATTTCCTGACCTTTCTGTGGGCTTTGCTTTGTGGCAGATGGCACTAGAAGAAGCAGGAGTTGTAGGCAGTGTGGGTGGCCCAGTCTAGACAAGAATGGAGAGGAGAAGCTGAGAATAGGTGGCCTCCCAGAAAGTGGATGACAAGGGAAGGTGACTGTCCTGGAGAGAAGTTGGGGAGGTTGAATCATGGGAGTGGAAAAATGTCAGACCATGAGCAAACAGACACAGAAAAGAAAAGAGGTTGGAGACAAGGAGAAGGAGGACGGCCAAGGCTGCCTGAAGCTGCCTTGGTTGGTAGCCTACTCTCTGAATCCTCTTGGCATTTTGTCCTTGGTTGTCAGAGGTTGTACTTTCTCCTTGCCCTGATCTGTCCTCCATTTCCAACCTTCAGACCTCTGTTTCTTACAGTTTCTGTTGACAGTGATTCCAAAGCAGTTAATACAATCTCTGACTTTACAGCTTCCACTCAGAACGAGAGTATACACACAACCACTACCCAAAGCAGCACTATATCCAGGACTGGGAAATCAACAAACAGTACACTTTCCACCCCTGACTCAACTACCACTACAACTCATACCTCAACCCCGAATATCACCTCTGGATCTGCTGCTACTTCAGACCACCACTCCCTGAAATCAACCATCGACACAGTGCCCACAACTCACCCAACTGCTACTACAGCTCATACCTCAACCCTGACCACCCCTTCTGGATCTACTACTTCAGACCAACACTCCCTGAAATCAACCAGTAGTACCACGCTCTCTAGCCCCCATCCAGTTACCAATATAATACATACCTCAACCCCGACCACCACCTCTGGATCCACTACTACTTCAGACCAAAACACAACAAAATCAACCAGCAACACAGTCTCCACCACCATCTCAACTGTGTCTTCAATCCATACTTCAACCCCGACCACCACCTCTGGATCCACTACTACTTCAGACCAAAACACAACAAAATCAACCAGCAACACAGTCTCCACCACCATCTCAACTGCATCTTCAATCCATACTTCAACCCCGATGACCACCTCTGGATCCACTACTACTTCAGACCAAGACACAACAAAATCAACCAGCAACACAGTCTCCACAACCATCTCAACTGCATCTTCAATCCATACCTCAACCCTGGCTACCACCTCTGGATCTACTGGCACTTCAGACCACCACTCCCCGAAATCAACCATCGACACAGTGCCCACAACTCACCCAACTGCCACTTCAGCTCATACCTCAACCCTGACCACCACCTCTGGATCTACTGCTACTTCAAAACAAGACTCCCTGAAATCAACCAGTAGTACCACGCTCTCTCGCCCCCATCCAGCTACCAATATAATACATACCTCAACCCTGACCACCACCTCTGAGTCCACTACTACTTCAGTCCAAGACACAGCAAAATCAACCAGCAACAGAATCTCCACACACATCCCAAATGTTGTTTCAACCTACACCTCAACCTTGACCTCTGAGTCTTCTGCTACTTCAGTTCACACAGCAAAATCAACCAGCAACACACTATCCACCTCTCACCCAGCTACCACTAAAACCCATACTTCAGTTCCAACCATCACCTCTGGATCTACTACTACGTCAGTCCAGGACACCCCCAAATCAACGAGCAACACAGTCTCTACATCCATGCCAAATACTGCTTCAACTCATACTTCAACCTTGACCACCACCTCTCCATCTACTGCTTCTTCAGCTTACCAACGCACTACCACCCTGACCACCAGCTCTGCCTCAGGCTCGACCATCACTCAGGTCCAACATGGTACTTCTGCCAAGGAGACTACCACCACAGTTGGCAAGAGTACTCCATCCTCAGTCCCCAGCCACCACTCTGCAATTCCCACCACCTCGGCCAGCCACAGTTTCAGAACTGTGACCACCAGCACTAAGCACAGCTCAGTTTCTCCTACCTCCTCCAATCATATCACTTCTTCCCTGTTGCCTAGTAGTTTCTCCTTATTCTTTCTCTCCTTTTACATTACAAACCTTCATTTTAACTCTTCCCTGAAAGATCCAAGAACCAGCTATTACCAAGCACTACAGAGAAACGTGTCTCAACTGGTGAGTATTTGCCTTCCACCATGATCCCCAGAAGCAGCCAGGACTCAAACTGCTAGCATCACGTTTGAGTCCTTTCTCTCTCATCACAGTTTCTGCAGATTTACAAGAACGAGCATTACCTGGGAGTATCTAATATCAAGTTCAGGTACAATGCTGGCAGTGAACTCTGGGCAGGAGGGGCTGGGTGGATGTTGACATATCTGTAGTGAGGGGCTGTACTTGAGCAAGGGTGCGGGGAACTTGCTGAGGCCAAGTTGCCCATTTCCCTGTGACCAGGCCAGGATCTGTGGTGGTAGAATCAGCTCTCGCCTTCCAAGAGGGTACCATTAATGCCAGAGACGTGGAAGCACAGTTTCTTCAACATAAAGCAGAAGCAGCCAGATATAACCTGACCGTCTCAGAAGTCAGAGGTGAGGCCACTTCCCCAGCTGTTGCCTAGTGCCACATCAGGGGCCCTCTTCAAGTAACTGGGTTCCTGCTCTCCCCCTTCTGAGCTGGTAGGGAAAAGTTTGCCTCTTTTGGGAAAGTGTCCTGACTACTAACTTATTCTTCTAGTAAATCAAGAGAATTTTCCTTCCTCTGTCCCTACCGGATCTGGGGTACCAGGCTGGGGCATCGCCCTGCTGGTGCTGGTCTGTGTCCTAGTCATGCTGGCCATCATCTATCTCATTGCTCTGGTAAGTTCCATTTCTGATCCTGACTCAGTTGCACTGCCTGAAGGAGCCTCATGACCCACTATGACCCCCCGCCTCCCCAGGCCGTGTATCAGTGCCGGCGAAAGAGCTGCGGGCAGCTGGACATCTTTCCAACTCGTGATGCTTACCATCCTATGAGCGAGTACCCCACCTACCACACCCATGGACGCTATGTGCCCCCTGGCAGTACCAAACGAAGCCCCTATGAGGAGGTGAGGATGGGCTTCACAGGCTGGTGGAGGGGGTGTGTGGAAAGTAGGGGTCTTGACTGGGCAGGGTTTCTGAGGAGGTACTTGGAAAATTTGAAGAGTTTGGAAGAGGTGTGAGGTGGCATGAAGTAAGCAGTGGAGGGGCCGTCAGAGAGGGATGCGGAGGTCAGAAGAATTTTAGAGGAAAGGCCAGGGGAGAAGACTAGGGAAGAAAGGAAACCAGAAGAAAGAGGACTGAAATCAAGAGGGAGTGCCCCACTACTAACATTCCCCAGAGGCGCTGCCTGCCCACAGTCACCGCTTGGCTGAACTCTGGCTGGTGCTCACTTACTTGGATGCCTTGAGGTGAAATGGGGAGGGGAGTATTTCCTGCAGAGGTCACTGCACCTGTGTTCCCACCCATCTTCTGAGAATGAGGAGGACAGCTTAAGCAAGACCAGAGTAGAGGTGGGGATGGGGTGGAATGGTGAGACTCTCACCTGTGAAGGAAAGTTAACCAAGCCAAGTCTGCATGCCAGGGGGAGCTTCCAGGAAGCAAGGAGCCTCAGTTTTTCTTCTCCTGGTCTTTCCTTAGCCAAACCAAGACCAAACCCATTGGCCTGTAGGTTGAGCTCAACTCCTAATGACCCTGTAGGACAGAGCAGAACTGCTCCCACTAGGTTTCTGAGGCTGTAAATCTTTGCAGAAGCAAACTGCCACTTCTTTCTTCCTTGGGTAGGTTAGCAGCTTAACACTTACCCAGTATCCCACCTCAGCCTTTCACTTCGGAAACCAGTACGTAATTACTGTGGCAACTTGGAGGGAACACTGGTGGTCTAGTGGTAAGGAATTGCACTGCCAGCCTAAAAGAAGGTGGTGTAAATCCACCAGATCCTTTACAGGAGAAAGATGAGCAATCTTCTCCTATAGGATTATAACCTCTGAAAACTCGCTGGATTCTGAAAACCTGCTGGAGGTCAGCTATGAATTGATGACACATAAAAACAACATAGCTACTTGGGGCTAGAATACCACTCCCAGTAGAGGAAGGGAAAGAAGTTTCTTTTCTTGCTCCTATTTTTCCTTCTATTGAGGACTCCCTTTCAGTGGACTGGAGGAGCCGAGAATGAAGGGATAAAGGGACAGGAGGGGCGGGCATGGGGGCTGATTAGAGCCAAAGGGAGGGGGAGAAGGGGAGCTGAGGAAGGAAGAGAGGCTCTGTTTATAGTCACCTGGCTGCCCTGGGGCCTGGCAGGTGCTCTGTCTGAATTAACCCTTTGGAAGCTAGCCAGGCTCCTGGACCTGTTAGCCTGGCCTGGCCTAGGGTGCCTCTGAGGTGCCTTGGATAAGTGGCTTGTCCCAGGAAAGCCACTGTTCCTCTCCCTGACTCCCTTCTTCACCACCACCATCTCCAGGTGACTTCAGGCAATGGCAGCAGCAGCTTGGCCTTCACGAACCCAGCAGCCACCTCTGCAGATTTGTAGAGGCATGTCTTACACTGATCATCCAACTGGTGCCTGTTACCTTCTCCTGCAGTGGGTCCTCACTACTGGAGCTTCTCCACTACCTGGGCTGATGGGAGGGGGTTCAGGTGGGCTGCTCAGAGCCTTGAGGCAAGGGTACTTGGTCCCTTAATCCATCTAAACCCTGATGAAGGCCTCCCTGTTCCAAGGGAAGATGCCTGGAGCAGAGGTACAGTGGTGGTTTGTAGACAGACGGGTTCAGAAAGCCTCAGAAGTGGGGGTTGGAACCTGAATTTGGCTAAATAAAACATAGGGCTAACTTTCACCTGTGCCCAGTATGGATAAGAGAGGAGTTTGGTGGTGTGTGTGTTTGGGGGCAAGGAGGGTGTCTGGCAGGGGCCTCTAGGGAGGAGACAGGAAAGAAGTGAGGTAGGAGGGATTCATTTCAGGAGAAACAGGAAACCTGGAGAAGGGGGCACACTAGGGTGCAGGGTGGTCATCAGTGTTGAGGAGTCATCTCTCCTCCATCCCCAGTAGCCCAGAAGGAAGAAGGAAATGAAATGCAGTCTCAGGAGGGCCTGCGTGACTGGACTCCACCTGGGGCTCGTGGCTCTCCCTTCTCCTGGGGCCTGAGTTTCACTTGGGCTGGTGGCCCCCGCCCTCTTCTCGTCTGGGCACGGTGCCCCTAGGCAGCTCTATTCTTAGCTGCCCGGGTGTGAAGTAAATCCTTGGGCAGCGATAACAGGATAACAGCAGCAGAGTCAACACGGCCTTGATAAGCGGAGGCTGTGCTGGATTTGGACGCTGGTGCCAGGCCTGGTTCCCTCCCATGCTCCTCACTGCCCGCCCCCTGGCTCTAGGGTAGCCTCCTGGTGCCCTGGGAATGGGGAAGTGGTTCTGGTTCCCTGATTCCTTTGGACCCAAGTGCAGTGCCTGCCCCTCTCAAACACACTCTCCCAGGGGCCTCTGAGCCCCACCGCCTGAGTGCCTTCTTGGCACTGATGCCAACAGACAGGAGGCTGTACCCCACAGTGGCCTTGGTTGACTTGGGCAGGGGTCTTTAGAGACCAGATCCACCAGTACCCCTGGAATAACTGTAGAACACAGAGTCCCTCCCACCTGCCACAACAAGTGCAGAAAACCATGAGGAAGGCTCAGGGAAGGGAGAGAAATGCCTGGCATCACAGTTTATTATTTATAAACCATGAAAATAACAGCTGTTGTTTGGCACAGGTCTAGCAGTGCCCACCACAGAGGGGCATCAGCAGGCACCAGAGTCCTTGCCTGGCCCAACCCAACGGGGACATCCAGCCTCAGCTGGGGCCCCAAGGGAGACTTGGCACATTGGCTTGAATGTGGGATAGATAAAGCATGCAGGGAGAGGAAGGTCATCTGGGGCATGCAGCCGGGGGTATGAGGACCCAAATAAAGCAGAATGGCAGGGTCCCCTCCCCTCCCCAAGGAGTGCTTGGGAAGTGTTTGGCTCCAAACCTACCCACCCCAAGGCTGTGAGCACTTCAGCATCCATGGGGCAGGGAGCCGAGCAGAGGGCAGAGGTGGAGATCATGCCCAGTGGTGCAGGTGCCCGCCTCTCAGTCAGCCTGGGAGGAGTACAGAACAGGGATGGAGAATGGGCTCTCTCCACAACTGTGGGTAAGATGCCAAGGACAGGGCAGGGGCCAGAGACTCGTTGGGGAGAGGGCTGTGGCTAATAGGCAATGGAAAGAATAGGAGCCTCTAGAGAGGCAAACATGGGACAGATTCTTGGTCAAGAGAAGATCCAGGCGAGACAGAGACACAGGGTTCGGAGCAGGACCATATGGTAGGAAGTTTGGAGAAACTGCCAGGGGAATAAACTGGCACCAGGAGGTGTGAGGAGCCAGGGCTTGGGAGGGGCCTTACTCCAAAAGAGGGACCTAGAAGGGTCAGTCCAGCTTGGCAAAGCCTCCAATGGTAACCTTCCTCTCTGGTTTAGTGCCCACAGGCTCTTGTAGTTGTACTGCACCACCCCCAATGAAGCAAAACGCAGGGCATACGGGCCCCGAGCAGTCCAGGGGGCACTCCAAGAGCCCGCGAAAGGAGACAGCATCCACAAAGGAGACTCGGCCCCGTTCATAGTCCAGGCAGATGCCCAGGCGGGGTGGCAGGGGCACTGTGCAGCTGGCCGTGGGGCCGTCCCTCCCTGTCAGCCCAGCATTTGAGCTTGCCCCAGAACCCAGCAGGATTTTGCCCATGCCGATGGTTAGGAAGGCGAAGGGTGGCGACGCCTCCACTGTGGCATCTTCGGCACCACTGTCATGCCCACTGTCTGGGTCGTACCTGCAGGAGTGGGTATTGGGTAGGAAGATAGTAAGACATGGAATAAAAGGAAAGAATATAGGGCATCACAGGGCTGACATACTGTTGGATGAATGGAATGTATGGGGAGCAAGAGGTTGAAGAGATTGATCTGGGGTAGTGAAGTTAGAGCTGGATGTTGGGTTAGAGTATAGGTAGGGTTGTAGATCAAGCTGGTGAGAAAGGGGTATTGAGAGGAAAGAACATTGGCAAGAAAGGTGTTGGGGGAATGAAAAGGTAATAAAGCACACTGAAGAACTGGGTGCACAATGAGAAAGAAAAGTGTTGAAAAACAGTGTTGGGGATATCATGATGAGGACAGTTGTGAGGCTTAGAAGATGTTGGCAAAAGGGTTAGTAATGAAATTACTGGGGAAAGGGGATGAAGAAGGAATAATTGAGTATCAGTGTCAGATGAGGATGTTATAGGCAGTCGGGTTTAGGAGACAATTGGTGCTGAGAGAATGCCTTTTGAAGAAATGGAGTGCAGAGGAGAAATGGTTCAGAAAAAAAAGCAGGTGTAGGAGGGGTATTCAAGTAAGATGTTGGGGATAAAAGGTTGTGGAGATGGGATATTTCAGGGATGAACTTTAGGATGTTGTGGGAAGATGTGAGTGAAGAAGGAGCTGGAGAGAAAGGTTTGTGGAGAGTGTTGGAAGTGGGGTAATGGGTGGAAGGGACACAGGGGCTTGGAGGGATGTTATGACAGTTTGAGTGACAGGTGGAAGGAAGTGGAGGTGGCTCCCTCTTTTGTCATCTTTTTCCCAACCACACACTCTAAAAATCAGCCTTTTCAGTGAGCCCACACCCCACCCCCTCAGCCACAGATCTCACAGCCTGGTTTCCACATTCCCACCACCACTTCCTGATGCCTCCACCCCTGCCTTCAACCGGGGCTCCCACCCCCCTTGCAGAGGGACCTGACCTGGGGCTGATCACGTCAGGGGCACCCTGGAAGCTCTCCTGAAGCTTGCTCTCCAGCCCGACGCCCACCTTGACCAAGTAGGAGGCTGGGTCCACAGCGCAGGCCCAGTAGCTGCGGCCCTGGGTCACAGCCACATCACCCAGGACCACATCCACACTCAAGTGGCAGCCGGTTAGCAGCCGCTCAGCAGCCAGCAGCAGGGGCAGCCCTGGAACACTCCGCACTGCTCGCTGGTCCTTGCTGATAGCCAACCGCTCTCGGCTTGCGCCCCAGCGGCCATCGAGGAAGAAGTGCAGGACTGGGGGGGGGGGGAGGAGGGAGGGGCGGAGACAGAAGGACTTCAGGTACAAACAGTGGCACTGGGGACTGCATGGTCTCAGCACAGGACACTGGGAGATTTCGGAACAAGGAACAAGTTGTCAAGGGGTTTAGTCACTAGGAAAAGGCTGAGGAGCAGGGCCTGGAAGACTGGCATGAAGGCATAAAGAAAGAAGAAGGGGCATCCCAAAGGGGTATGGGACCCCAGGAAAAGTTTTTAGTAGTGGCTTTTGGGCAGAGAAACTCAGATCCCAGAACCAACTGAATGAAAATGCTTCCTCTAACCCATTTCCTGAGATTGGGCCCACAGACAGCCCCACTCTTGTTTTGTCCCCCTGGTGGCAAACCCTGTTACATCTGACCCTTATGCCCACACCCCTTGCTTGGTGATGCCCCCCTATTATGATCACACCCAGGTCCATACTGTTTTCTAAAGAATCCTTTTCCCTAATATTTACTGAATCTTTGCTGTAAGCCAGAAATAGTGCTAACACTTTATTTAGATATATCATTTTTAATTCTCATAATAATCCTATAGGATAATTATTATTGTTATTAAGCAGGAGTGGCATCTACTTCCTAAACAACATACCTCTACCTCTGGAAACTCTATGAACTTTGATAAATGACAATAGTTATAGAAAGCTATCAGGCTTTTTTTGAGTCATGGTTGACTTGATGGCAATCAACAGCAACATAACAACTCCCATTTTATAAAAGAGGGGCGCTCTGGTTAATTCTCATAATAACTACGTTGCTGTGATTGTGTAGAGTTGGAACTGACCCATAGCTGACCCTCCAGCAAGTTTTCAGAGACAGTTAATGACACAGGAGGAGATTGCCCATCCTTCTCCCGTGGAGGAGCTGGTGGACTTGAACCATGTGCCTTTGGGATCACAGCGGTTTCTTGCCACTAGGCCACCAGACTACTATAGGATAAGAATTATTATTACTCTCATTTTATAAAAGAGGAACCTGAAGTTTAGTTATTCAACTTGCCCAGAACCACAGAGCAAAAAACAGAGCTGGTTTTGAACCTAGACAGTCTGGCTCCAGAGCTAGTGTGTGTGACCCGTGCTGTCACCTCTGCAGTGCCCTGGGCTCCAGGCCCTCATGCCTGCCACACTGCACCACCAGCTGCTCACTCACTCACCAGGCGCCGGGGGTGTGTGCAGGTGCACATCTTCACTGTACTCGCCGTAGCCGGCCTTGTTGCAGCCACGGACGCGGAGCACGTACACAGAGCCTGTGTCAGGGTTCTCCAGCAGTGCGCTGGTGCCCCTCACCTCTTCCCGCCGCTGCCAGCGGGTGGGGCCTGGCTGGGCCGGCACATCTGTGCGCCGGAACTCAATGGTATAATGCCAGGCAGGTGGCGAGTGTGGGGGCAGACGCCAGCACAGGAAGATCTGGTCATAGGCAAAGGTGCGCTGGGTGTCAATGACGGGCGCCTCAGGCACTGTTGGGAGAAATAAGAGGGGTCAGTCAGGGTCTGCCGCAGGCCTGGCGTGGAGGGTAGGGGCAGGCGGGAAAAGGGAAAGCAGCGGGGGCCGGGGGGTGAGTGTGGGTGAGAGGGCCAGAGCAGGGACTCATCTGGGTGCTGGTGGCCTGCTGGGCCAGACTGCAGGGACAACACAGAATGAGCAGGCCAGAGCCTAAGGGATGGAGCAAAAGACGCAG